GGCTCCGCGGTAGAGCGTCGGTCTGCGGACTGAAGGGTCCCAGGTTCGATTCCGGTCAAGGGCATGTACCTTGGTTGCGGGCACATCCCCGGTAGGGGGTGTGCAAGAGGCAGCTGGTCAATGTTTCTCTCCCATCGACGTTTCTAGCTCTCCATCTCTCTCCCTTCCTCTCTGTAAAAAAATCAATAAAATATATATATATATATATATATATATTAAATCAATAAAATATATTTTAAAAAAAAGACAAAGGCGCAATCTTGAGGAAATGGGTCCCAATGTAAGATACAAAGAGAATTCCCAGGAGGGTGAGAGGAGGCATCCCCGCAGAAAGAAGCTAAGAGAAACACAGAATTCTACCCATCGATTACCTGGCAGATTTGACCTTTCAGAAAGTTGAATTGAGATACACTGTCAGCACTTCTAAGAAAGACAAGTAAAGAAAAAAAAGAAAAAAAGGCTATTAACTCCAGCTGGAGAAATGACACATCATAATAATTACACTTCTCCATTGTGTTCTTCAAAGCAAAAAAAAATTACATTTCCATAAAAACAATGAAAAGAATGTGAGCCACCGAGACATCAGGTGCACGCGTGTCTCATCCAGTTGACGACTCAGGGGCATCACGTGATGCTGAGCTGCATCTGAAACCCAACGTGAACTTCCCGCACTGAGCTGCCTCCCTGCAGCTCTGGCGCCTTCCAGTTCCAGTTGCTGGAAACACAACCTGTCATGATTGGGGGACTCTCAATGGCACCATGAAGGTGCTCTGACTAAACTTAGGATAATCCCCCTCCCACATTCTCCAACCTGGCCAGTCAATGCAGTCCATCCCCTAGGGCAGGTGATTGGTTCATTATGACATTCGATCTGAGCTGGACCAATGAAATTCAGTACTGGGACTTCCGGTTGAAACACTGGAGTAGCTGGATGTCATTCTCCAAGTGGCTGCTGGGTGGGGATAAAACATCCACAGGGCAAAGCAAATCTCATCTTGATGAGATGAAAGCCTAGTCAAGTTAAGAGGCAGAGAGTTAGCCCTAGCTGGTTTGGCTTAGTGTTTGATTCTAGCCAAGGGCACATGCCCGGGTTTCAGGATCAGTCCCCAGTAGGGGGCATGCTGAAGGCAGACGATCAATGATTCTCATCATTGGTGTTTCTCTCTCTCTCCCTCTCCCTTTCTCTCTGAAATCAACAACAAAAAAACTTATATAAAAAAAGAGAGACAGAAAGTTAGGATCCTGGTGATATTGGAATTTCTTGGTCCAGCTATGCCTGAAGTCAACCCAGCTTCCAGACAACCTAGATTTTCAGTTACATGAACCAATTCATTCCTTTTTTCCTCCTTTCATACCAGTTTGAGTTATTTTGTTAATCCTCTACTGACTGAGCTAGCCAGGCACTTCTCCCCCCATCGATTTTTAGAGAGAATGGAAGGGAGGGGGAGAAACATGGATGTGAGAGAGACACAAGAATTAGTTGCCTCCCACACGCACCCCACAGCCAAGGATCGAGCCTGCAACAAAGGTATATGCACTTGACTAGAATCGAACCCTTGACCCTTCAGTCCAAGGGCCCACACTCTAGCCATTGAGCAAAACCGGCTATGGCCAGTTGTTTTTTATTTTTATTTTTAAAATATATTTTATTGAATTTTTACAGAGAGGAAGGGAGAGGGATAGAGAGCTAGAAACATCAATGAGAGAGAAACATCTATCAGCTGCCTCCTGCAAAGCCCCCACCAGGGCTGTGCCCGCAACCAAGGTACATACCCTTGACTGGAATCGAACCCGGGACCTTTCATCCGCAGGCCGATGCTCTATCCACTGAGCCAAACCGGTTCTGGCTGGCCAGTTGTTTTTTAATTGAGCTTAGTTGTTGTTGTTTTTTCTGGAACTTCCAGCTAAACAAATCCTGAGAAAGACAGCCCCCACTCAAGGCCAGGCACTGCACTAAAGACTCGACACAACTGTCCCAGTGAGCCCTAGGGGAGAGAGAGTAGTTAAGATTCCTATTTGGCTGACGAGACAACTGGAGCTCACAGGGGTAAATCCATCTGCCCAAGATCATCAGAGCCAGGATCCCAACCCACATCTTTCTGACCCCATAATCCGCCCCTTTTGACCATGAGTAGTAATTGTCAGATTTGGAGATTCCGAAGCAGGAGGTATGGTGTGGGGAGAGGGGAAGGGGAGGGGGCACAAGAGCCAGAGGCCAATGGCACAGCTCCTCGAGCTTTCTTCAAAGGGCACCAAGGAGAGACAAGGGTTGTAAGCAGGGGAAAGACAAGAGGAAGGGCGTCCTGCAGTGGGGATGATGGGATCAATAAAAATAGTAACAGAAAGTAGTAACTCTCCAAACCACAATGAGAAGCTACTTCACACTCTATTGCATTGTAATAGAAAACAATGCAAACAAGTGATGTGGGGAAATCCCAACCACTGTCCACTGCTGGAGGAAATGCACAAGAGTGCAATCCTGCGGAAAGCAGCCTGGCAACTCCTCACGAGATTAGACATAAGGTGCCCATAGGACCCAGCAGTCTCACTCCTAGGTATCTGCCCAATAGGTATGAAAACATATGGCCACACAGAAAAGCCTGTACCATCTTTAAAGATGTTTATTGATTTTAGAGAAAGAGAGAGATAGAAACAACAAGATGAGCCCTAGCTGGTTTGGCTCAGCGGATAGAGTGCCGACCTACGGACTGAAAGGTCCTGGGTTCGACTCTGGTCAAGGGCATATGCCAGGGTTGTGGGCTCAATCACCAGTAGGGGGCGTGCAGGAGACAGCCGATCAATGATTTTCTCTCATCCTTGATGTTTCTCTCTCTCTCCATCTCCCTTCCTTTGGAAATATATATATATATATATAAAACAACACATCAATGATGAGAGAGAATCATTGATCAGCTGCCTCCTGCATGCCACCCACTGGGGAGAGAGCTTGGAACCCATGCCTGTTAGGTCCAAGCTAACAGGAGCCAGGCCAAGAGAGGTTGTAAGAGTAAGAATTCTGTTTTGTTTTTTTAAAAATATATTTTATTGATTTTTTTACAGAGAGGAGGAGATAGGGATAGAGAGCTAGAAACGTCGATGAGAGAAACATCGACCAGCTGCCTCTTACACACCCCCTACCAAGGATGTGCCCACAACCAATGTAAATGCCTTTGACCAGAATCGAACCTGGGACCTTTCAGTCTGCAGACCGACGCTCTACCACTGAGCCAAACCAGTTTCGGCGAGAGTAAGAATTCTTAAGACATTCTCCCACAGCTGGCTGAGATCAGTGTGTCGGTGTCAGCACCAAGGGAGTGCTTATGTTTGCTTCTATAGGGTCAGGGTTGCACCAGCCAGCCGGGTGACCTTGGAAGAGAGCAGGCGGTCTGGTGGCTGCACAGCTCAGGCAGAGAGGAGCGCCCAAGTCGGCTGGGGAGTGTATCTTATTTTCTGCAGGTGCAGGCTATTTGCTTCAAGTTATGGAAAACAACTTATAACAATATACTCAGAAAACACATCCAAACAGGAGAGGCCAGGGGTAGTACCTCCTCATAGTGCCCTGACTGGGAATTGAACCTGTGACCTCCTGCTTCATGGGTGGACACTAAACCACAGAACTACACCAGCCAGGCAGAACTGTGTACTTTAATTGGATGAATTGTATCATATGTGAATTATACCCCAATAACACTGTTAACAAATAAAACCTGACTTTTAGTGAGTGGTTAGCCCTGGGCCAGTGATTGCATTAACACTGTCAAGATCACTGTGAAATACCAAGGTCAGAGAGGTTAAGCAACACAGTGAGCTCGTGGTGTGACATTTAGGGCCCCACCAGACCTAACCCACACCCCAACCCCAGCTTCACCCTCCGACACTTTCCTTCCCCTCAGCCCAGTTCCTGCCCTATTGACCTGATTTCTGTTTCTTTCTTTCTTTTTAAAAAAAATTAAATTATTATCTGTGTACATATTTTACCATTGCCCTCCCCAGAGTTTTGTGTCCATTGGTTGTACTTATGTGCATGTATACAAGTCCTTCAGCTGATCTATTATCTCCCCCAGATCTCCCTCCCCTCCCCGCTGTAATTTGACAGTCTGCTTGTTGCTTTTCTGTCTCTATATCTATCTTTTGGTTCATCAGTTTATAATGTTCTTTATTATCCATAAATGAGTGAGGTCATGTGGTGTTTCTCTTTCATTGACTGACTTATTTCACTCAGCATGATGTTCTCCAATTCCATCCAGGTTTCTGCAAATGATGAGAATTCCTTCTTTTTTATGGCAGCGTAGTATACCATTGTGTAGATGTACCATAGTTTTTGGATCCAATCATCTGCTGATGGGCACCTAGGCTGTTTCCAAATCGTAGCTATTGTAGATTGTGCTGCTATGAACATAGGGCTGCATATATCCTTTCTGACTGGTGTTTCTAGTTTCTTGGGATATAATCCTAGGAGTGGGATTACTGGGTCAAATGGGAGTTCCATTTTCAGTTTTTTGAGGAAGCTCCATATTGTTCTCCACAGTGTGATTTCTGTTTCTTTTAAACACACGTTCTTTCCAGCCTCCAGGCTTTCGCATGTGCCCGGCTGTTCTTTCCCTTCCCAACGTAATCTGTGAAACGAATGTTTTTAGTGACTTTAGAGAGAGGGCAGGAAGAGATAGATAGAAACATCCATGAGAGAGAATCATCAATCAATCATCAATCGGCTGCCTCATGCAGGCCCCCTACTGGGGACTGAGCCCAAAACTCAGGTATGTGCCCTGACCAGGAGTCAAACCAGTGACCTCTTGGTTTAGGGGTCAATGCTCAATCGTTGAGACACCCCAGGAGGGCCTAATGTTAATTTTCTATTTTCATCATTCATTTTACACTTATTAATTGTAATTCTTCTCTCAGGATAATTTATCTCTTCTTCCTCTTTTTTAAATTGATTCAATAATGTCTTTAAATCAGTATGAACTGTGCTCATTTATTTTATTATTTGGGTTATAATTCAAGACCGTTGTATTTATTTTGTTGTTCAGATTGTCCCAGCTGTGGCCAGTGGGAGTTCTTTTAGGCTGGCTTCTATGTCCTTTGGATTTTTTTCCTTTTTAAAGCCCTTTCTGGCTTAGGAAGATGCTCCAAGATCATTTTGCACTTTCTCTGACCCAACCCTAGAATCAGCCATTTCTCTAAGGAGCCCTGGTTCCAGAAACCCAGATCTGGGTGCTGAGTTTACTTATGGCTACTAGGATGTCCCTGCTTTTGGGGGCAGGCGGAGCTAGGAAATACGTGTGTGTGTGTGTGTGTCCCAACCCACTCACGCACACATATCTATATTTATTTTTGTGTCTATTAGAAATAAACATGTCATGCTGATAACCCCAGACTAGTACCACATCGCTTATTTGTAATTTGATTACCCAATAGCATGAAATCTGGCTATCAGTGTCTACAGCATGTGTACTATTTGTTCAAGGCTAGCCTATAAGTAGATCCAGAACGGTTAACCCCTGAGAAACAAGTTTACTGACTGTCAGTGCGGTGTTTCTGTACAATGCCGAGACCACCTCTGAGCTGAGCAAACCAACCTATGGCTGTGAGCTGGAGTCTGCCCTCTGGCCTCCGCTCTGAGACCGGGTGACTGCTCTGGTCACTGGCCATGCCCAGCTTGTGGGCTCGCACCCTGGTGCAGCCGTGTTCACCGGCCTCAGGCCTGGTTGGTGGAGGGTGAGAAGGGGGTGGGACCTCTGCTGCAGCCCCCGATCCTCCTGATGGGTGGGGTTGGAGCGGACCCAGAGCGCAGATACCGCTCAGGGAGAACGGGGCGAAGACAGGGTGAGGCGGCCTCTCCAGACAAGAGCCCTGGCAGCAGAACTTGCCAGGCGGGCGTGCCAGCCCAGGCATGCATTAGGCCAAATGGTTGCGGCAGGATTTCAGAGGCCAGGCGCTGCCTTTTCCGGAGAAGGGACCAGGCTTGGCAGGGTAGGTGTGGTTTGGGTGGCTGGTGTTGCCCGGGGCCCTTGATAGGACCTGGGCTGAGTCCCCTCCTGATGCGTCTGAGGATGCAGTGGTGGGCAATAACACCAAAGCTCACGGTGGGCTCTTTCTGCACATCCCGGTTCTGTTCCCGTCGCTGCTTTCGTCCTCAACACCATGCCGCAGAGCGGGTGCTGATTTCTCCATTTTACAGATGAGACTATGAGGCTGGGGGCTGGGGGAGGCATCCATTCAGCTGAGTCTGCTCCAGATTCCCAGCCCTTAACATCTACACGAGAGCTGGGCCTCCCTGGAGCTGGGGGCCACCAGAGGCCAGAAGAATAAGCAAATAACCAATGTAGCCCTAGACGGTGTGGCTCAGTGGATAGAGCGTTGGCTTGCGGACTGAAGGGTCCCGGGGTTTGATTCCGGACAAGGGCACAGGCCCGGGTTATGGGCTTGATGGTAGGGGGCGTAAAGGAGGCAGCCGATCAATGATTCTCTCTCACCGTTGATGTTTGTATCTCTTTCTCCCTCTCCCTTCCTCTCTGAAATCAATAAAAAAAATATATATTTAAAAAATAACCAATGTTGCCGGGACCGGTTTGGCTCAATGGATAGAGCGTCGGCTTGGGGACTGAAGGGTCCCGGGTTCGATTCCGGTCAAGGGCATGTACCTTGGTTGCGGGCATATCCCCAGTGGGGGGTGTGCAAGAGGCAGCTGATCGATGACTCTCTCTCATCGATGTTTCTGACTCTCTATCTCTCTCCCTTCCTCTCTGTATAAAATCAATAAAATATATTTTTAAAAAAATAAAAATAAATAAAAAATAAAAAATAACCAATGTCATTTCAGATGGTGCTGTCAGGTGAGATTGGGGCGGAGGGGGCCGACCAAAGAAGGCCTTTGGGAGGGGGATGACCAGCCTGGAAGGGCTGGAAGAGGGTGCGTGGGGCAGACTTCTTCCCAAATGCCAAGGTCTGGGGGAATGTGAGGAGCAGGGGGAGGCCAGGGCGGCTGGGAGGAAGGCAGAGGGAGGGGGAGGAGGAAGGAGGAGAGACTTGTGGGCCCTGGTGGGGGCTTTGGTGTGTCCTCAAAGCCACACGGGGAGCTGGGGAGCAGGGAAGGGTTGTGATCTGAGTCTTAAGCACTGTTGGCTGCCAGTAGGGAACAGAGTGTAGGGATGGAAGCAGAGTCCTCCTGGAGGTTCTTGACGTCTGGCCCAGACTTCAGAGCCGGATTCCCTGGGGTCCCCGGGAAAGGGGCGCCTGGAGGAGGCGGGAGGTGCTGGGCCCCCACAGACAGACCTGCCTCAGCAGGAAGGGCCTCCCTGCCCTGCGGGCGCGCCATGGGAGGTGTGAAGCAGCCACCTCCCACCCGGCTGCCGCTCCGCCTAGCAGAGAGGGTGCACGGAGGGCCCGCTGCGTGCGTGCGGGGCTGGTTCTGCTGCGTTTGGGGTTCTCCCAGGCCCCTTCCAGCCGGCGTGGTCGGTGGACTAGGCACTGCTGTGCACAGTTACCCCCACCCCCTATCGGCGCAGGCAGGAGCCGCGGGATTCTGCCAGTGGCTACCTGGGGTCGAGACCTGGCCTGAGTGTCCCTCTCCCTCCCTTCCCCGGGGTGTCTAAGATCCACCCCATTCTCAGCCTCCCGTTCACCGACCCTGAGGCCGGCAGAGGCTGCAGCAGCCGAGGCAAAGGGCATGGTCCTGGGGCCGCCAGGCCCAGCCCCCCTTCCGGGCTATGGCCTCTGGTCTGAGGGTGAGGGAGCTCCTTGGAACTGGGGGTTGGGGGGTGAGTGGCCAGCTGGGACTGGCCGCTGGAGGAGCGGAAGCCTGGAAGAGGCGTGGGAAAGCGGCGAAGCAGCGAGAAAGACACAGAGAGAAAGTGTGCAAGATATTCATCCATTTTCTCTCTCACGGGGAGGGGGGGGTCCTTATTGGACACCGGCTTTGTCCCCGCAGTGCCCACCACAGACTCAAATCCCTGCCCGCGAGGGGCTGGCAGCTCGGTGGGGACTCAGCCCGGATGAACCCCAGATGAGTAAGTCCCATACTTAGGAACAGTAAGGGCGAGGCAATGGACTAGCCAGGGGGACGCGCGATCCACATCCTCCCTATAGGGGTGAGGGGCCGGATGTTCCCACAGGAATCCTTCCCGCGCCGCCCTCCCTCTGTCGCCCAAGCCCGCGGTGGGGCGCGGACACTGGGTGCTGCGGCCCCCCGTCTGCCCGGGAAGGGGACTCCGGCTACTGCCGCCCGGAGGGAGACCTTCCCTAACCCACGTTGCCCGAGTCCCTCTCCCGACCCGGCGTTCTTGGGTGCAGTGCTGGTCAGTGGGAAGGTAAGCGGGAAACGGGGAGGGACCGGTGCCCAGGAGCCCAACCACAGACGGGACCCCTCTCTGCGGTGACTGAGGACGAGTGTGTGTGTGTGTGTGTGTGTGTGTGTGTGTGTGTGTGAGAAGAGGCTCAGGCTGCAGCCGCCCCGCTGGGAACCCTCCCCCTTCCAGGGTCTCCAGGTCCTCCCACCGCGACGGAGCGTCCCGAGCGTCCCGGGTCCGGAAGGGGCAGCCGAGGGCTCGCCGGTGCCAGTCGCCGCCCGCCGGGGCGCGCTCTGATGCTGCAGCGGATGGCACAGGCTGGCAGCCCAAGGGGCGGGGCCATTGCTGGCGACCGCCTTAGCTCGGCGTTGAGGGCCAGTCTCCCCCCACCCCCCACCCCACCCCCACCCCTTTCCGCCAGCCATCTTCAGTCCCGCCCCCACGAGCGGCACCCAACTCTGGGCTCCGGGCTGCGCGTCTGCGGGGGGCGCGCGGACCAGGCGCGGGGTGAGTGCGCGGCGCTGGGTCCTCGGGGTGCGCGGGGTTGGTCTGGCCCCGAGAGGCTGCCCTGGCCGCTCCCCGGGCCCCCTTCCTGGGAGTTCCCGGGCCTCTCCCGGAGGCGAGAAAGCCAGCGACGTTGCCGGTGTGGTTGTGTGATGCTGGCGCGGGCTGGGGGGACGGGACGGGGAGGAGGGGGGCGCCTGCAATCCACAGGCCTTGCCCTCTCTGGCCACTCCTCTGCAAGTTTCCCTACCGAGGCCAGGGGGCTGGGAGCCTGTTTGCAGGGTCCCCATCAGAGAAAGGGCAATGCGCGTCTGCGTGTATTGGATGCCCCTGCCCCGCGGCGTGACAGCCCAGACTCCCCGTGGGTCTGTCTCTGTGCCTGCTTCCCAGAGCACGACTGACTGAAGCCGTCTGACAGGCATTTGATCCAGCCAGGTCCAAATAAGTCGGTTCCCCTCTCCGGGCCTTAGTTTTCTCATCTGTTAAATGGGAGCTGCACGCTTGGGTCGCTGTGTCCGCGTGGCTGTGTGTGTATGTGGGGGGGGGGGGAGCATGAACACCAGTGTGTCTGTTTCTCTGCGAGGCACTTCCTTTCAGCCTCGGTGTCCCGTCTATAAACGGGGCGATGGTGAGGGCTGTCCAGGGGACGGGAGGGCCGTGGCCAGGGGATCATTAGCGTGCTTCAGTGACATGAGGGCCTGTCTGCGGGAGCCTGCCGGCTGCCCTCCGGCCCTGTCCCTGGGGAAGGGGCCCATAGGGCCAGCGTTCTCACGGGGGCCTGCAGCGGGTGGAAGGGCAGGAAAAAGCCCTGGGTTCAGCGAGCCCTGTAGATGGCGGAGCTCAGGGCTCCGGGCTGAGCATGGGTGGAGGTTGTGAAATTGTGGCCTGTGTGACTGGGCGTGAGACCCTGTCTGCAAGCTGCTGTCGGTGTTGCTGTGTGCTCTGCCTGTGCTGCTTTATTGCTGGGTGAAGGCATTTTTGTGTCTTTCTGATGGGCTCTGACCATTTTTGCCCTAGTTTGTGCCTGTGTATATATTCTTGTCAGCGTGTCACTGTGCTTGTGTGTCCCTTTCTATGTGTGGCTGTATTTGTGTGCATTCTGTCTGTTTTTTTAAAATATATATTTTATTGATTTTTTACAGAGAGGAAGGGAGAGGGATAGAGAGTTAGAAACACCGATGAGAGAAACATGGATCAGCTGCCTCCTGCACGCCCCCTACTGGGGATATGCCCGCAACCAAGGCACGTGCCCTTGATGGGAATTGAACTTGGGACCCTCAGTCCGCAGGCCTACGCTCTATCCACTGAGCCAAAGCGGTTAGGGCCGTTCTGTGTATGATTGACTATGCCTCTGGTTACCCCGATGATGTATGAGTTATGACTGTAATCCTCAGGAACGGTGGGGCTGTGTCACCTTGTTCCCTATTATCATTCCTGTGTCGGCCTGTCACCATGGCCATCCCCCTTCCATCCGGAACTGCCCCTGCTCCCCAGTGTACCTGGGAGGTGGAGGGGAGGGAGTTAGGGCCCCTTTCCCAGTCCTGCGAGGCCCGTGCCCGGCGGCACAGGCAGCGAGGACGGTTCGCGCCCAGCCTGACCCTGCGCCGCCTCTCCCTCCGCAGCCTCGGGGCGGTGGCCCATGGAGCCGGGGCTGCTGCGGCCCGCGCCTGTGAGCGAGCTCATCGTCCTGCACTACAACTACACCGGCAAGCTCCGCGGCGCGCGCTACCAGCCAGGCGCGGGGCTGCGCGCCGACGCCGCCGTGTGCCTGGCCGTGTGCGCGCTCATCGTGCTGGAGAACCTGGCGGTGCTGTTCGTGCTGGGGCGCCACCCGCGCTTCCACGCGCCCATGTTCCTGCTCCTGGGCAGCCTCACGTTGTCTGACCTGCTGTCGGGCGCTGCCTATGCCGCCAACATCCTGCTGTCCGGGCCGCTCACGCTGCGCCTGTCGCCCGCGCTCTGGTTCGCCAGGGAGGGCGGCGTCTTCGTGGCGCTCGCCGCCTCGGTGCTCAGCCTCCTGGCCATCGCGCTGGAGCGCAGCCTCACCATGGCGCGCCGGGGGCCGGCGCCCGCGGCCCGGAGGGGGCGCACGCTGGCGCTGGCGGCCGCCGCCTGGGGCCTGTCGCTGATCCTCGGGCTGCTGCCGGCGATGGGCTGGAACTGCCTGGGCCGCCTGGACGCCTGCTCCACCGTCCTGCCGCTCTACGCCAAAGCCTACGTGCTCTTCTGCGTGCTCGCCTTCCTGGGCATCCTGGCTGCCATCTGTGCGCTCTACGCGCGCATCTACTGCCAAGTGCGCGCCAACGCGCGGCGCCTGCGAGCTGCCGGCGGCTCCTCCAGGCGGGCGCGCCGCGCGCCGCGCTCCCTGGCGCTGCTGCGCACCCTCAGCATCGTGCTCCTGGCCTTCGTGGCGTGCTGGGGCCCCCTCTTCCTGCTGCTCCTGCTGGACGTGGCGTGCCCGGCGCGCGCCTGCCCCGTGCTCCTGCAGGCCGATCCCTTCCTGGGCCTGGCCATGGCCAACTCTCTTCTGAACCCCATCATCTACACGCTCACCAACCGCGACCTGCGCCACGGGCTCCTGCGCCTCGTCTGCTGCGGCCGGCGCCCCCGGGGCCGGAGCTCCGGAGCCTCCCAGCGCTCTGCGAGCGCCGCTGGGGCTTCGGACGGCCTGCACCACTGGCTGCCTCCCAGCCTGGACGGCAGCTCCAGCCGCTCGGAGCGCTCGTTGCCCCAGCGGGACGGGCTGGACATAAGCCTCCCCACCGGCGCACTCACAGCCCCGGGGACCCTGGTACCTGCACCAGCCGCAGAATGACCCCCTCTCACCCGCCATTGCCCTTCCCAAGAGCTGTTTGCAGATTTTTTTCTTTTTTAAATAACGGACTCTATAGGAAAACCAGCCGAAGATGGTGCAGAAAGAAGACGCAGGGAAAGGTATTTTACTGGCTGGTGCTAAACCCCACAACAGTGAACAAGAATGACAAAAATCACCGTCTTGGTGGGGTTGCCGTTCTGGTGGGACACAGGAGACAATGGAGTGGAGAAATCATGGAGATGGTTCCAGTGACAATACAGTGGTGTGATGGTGTCAGAGGAGGCCTCTGCAGAGGCGGTGACACGTGATGTGAACCAAGACATGACTGTCCTGAAACACACGGAGCAAGAGCATTTCCTGCGAGGGAACAGCAGGTGCCGAGGCCCCGAGGCTGCGGTGTGTCTGGGTTCTAGGACAAGCAGGGACCCAGGTGTGGCTGGGGCTGTGGTGGAGGGGAGAGGGGAGAAGACAAAGGCAGGGAGACCACTGGCCAGATCACTCAGAGTCTGTGGGCTCAGAGGCGGACGGTCCTTCTGCTCTGAGTGAGGTGGGAGCCATGGAGGGTTCTAGATAAGGGAAGGCCTTGACTTGGTCCCGGTGTTCACAGATCTCTGGGCGAGGCACAGGTGGTAGCTGGAAGAACAAGGTGGTGGCTGTGCTGGCCAAGGAGGGTGACGACGGAGACTCAGGCCGTGTGGGTTCTGGGTAGATTTTGGAAACAGCGGACAGGATTACTGAGGAAGTGAGTGTGGGAGTGAGATGGGAGTCAAGGACAGCGCTCCAGTTTAGAGGCGAGAGCACCAAAGACAGGGCACTCTACCATTTGACTCTGGGAGACTCAGCCAATTCTTAACTGGAACAAGGTGTGAGCGTGTCAGGCCCTTCATAAAAATGTAATAAAGTGAGAAGACCAGTTACAACTTATTGTGCCTGGCTGGTCACTCCGCAGTGGGAGGCCCAGGACACACCTTTTAGTCACACACACTTTCTGCAACCTTGCAAGGTGAGTTTCCCCACCCCCGCTTTATAGGTGAGGGAACCCTAAGAAGTTAGTACCTTGCACTCGCCCAAGCTGCCCGGCACTAGGCCTGCAGAGGTGCAGGCTGAGTTTCTGGCTCCTCCGGAATGGGGGGCAATTCCAGAGCCCCGTTTGTGCCCATAAAAGGCTCCAGACTGCTAGCCAAGGTCCCTGGCTGTCCCCAGGCGCATTCCTGACTCCTGCGTGGTGGGGCCGAACGGGCGGGGGAACTTGGGGCTCAGACTGCCACACGCCTCCTGTCGGGAGACAGCGGAACTGCAGGCAGCTGCAAAGTGTTTTGGGGGCCTGCGTCTCTGCGGGCCATGCTCAGGCCCAACAGGTCACAGACACAGGAAACGAACTTATTTCTTGGAACACAAACACACTCAAGCCTGGGGTCATGGTCTCAGGACTGGACCCAATTCCCAACCCAACCTAACACCCCTCACTCCAGGCTCCTTCAGTTTTCCAGGGGAGCCTGGAGCTCACCCCATTGTCCAGCTGTTTAATGATGTGAACACAGACTTATTTGCTTGTTCACATTTTACAAAATTCAAAAAGTACTAGTTACCTCGTTGGCCATGATCGCTGCGGGGGTTCCTGGGAAACTTCCGGAGCTATCTGTGGATAAAGGAGCTGAAATGTAAATACAGCTTCTCTCTTTTTACACAGTTTTAGCACTGCTCTGCATCTTGTTTTGTTCACTTAATAGTAGATCTTGGAAATTGTCGCCCATCTACAGATTTTGTTCTGTCTGGCTGCCTTAGTGCACTCAGGCTGCCGTAACAAACACCGCAGCCAGGGTGGCTTGAGACAATAGACATTTATTTCTCACAGTTGGAGGCTGGAAGACCAAGAGAAGGGTGGGTGCCCATGTGGTTGGGTGCTGGTGAGGACTCTCTTCCGGGCCAGCAGAGAGCTGCCTTCTGGCTGTGTGCTCTCATGGTGCAGAGAATTCCAGCTTTCAGGTGTCCCTTCTTATACGGGCACTAATATAAGGTGACCAGACGTCCCGATTTTTAACAATTTGTCCTGTGTTCCACGGCATTTTAAAAATGTTTGGAAAGAATCAGGATTTTTTTTAAAAAACACAGAGGGATGTGGGACAAATTGTTAAAAATCGGGACTGTCCCGCCAAAAGCGGTACGTCTGGTCACCTTACACTAATCCCTTCATGGGAGCTCCTCCCCATGACCTAATTTAAGCCTAATCAATTCCATTCATAGCACTTGTTCTTTAAAAAAAAAAAAATTAAAAAAAATATATATATATATATATATATATATATATATATATATATATATTGATTTTTTACAGAGAGGGAGCGGGATAGAGTTAGAAACATCGATGAGAGAGAAACATTGACCAGCTGCCTCCTGCACTGGGGATGTGCCTGCAACCAAGGTACATGCTCTTGACTGGAATCGAACCTGGGACCCTTGAGTCTGCAGGCCAACGCTCTAGCCACTGTGCCAAACCGGTCAGGGCAGCACTTGTCCTTAAACACACACACACCATTTTGAAATATTGAGGTAAATATTCACACAGCAAATGACTTGCTCCTTTCCTCTGAGAATAGTATTTTCCAGCACGGATGTGCCACTATTTACTGCACTAGGACCCTAGGGATCCTAGGAGACTCATGATTGTGGGGGGGGGGGCACCCACCCCAAACTCCTAGCGGGTTTAAAATTCCAGACCCCAAACAAGGACGTCAAATCCTCCAAATCCACTCTGGAGGCTGGAGAAATCATTTCTTAACTAACGGATGTTCAGCCTAGTGTTCTCATTATTCACTTAGGTTTTTTTAAAAATATATTTTTATTTTTATTGATTTTAGAAAGGAAGGTAGAGGGAGAGAGATATAAAATGCCCCCTACTGGGGACCTAGCCCACAACCTAGGCATGTGCCCTGACCAGGAATTGAACCTGGGACCCTTCAGTCCGCAGTCAGGCCAATGCTCTATCCACTGAGCCAAACCAGCCACTTAGTTTTATGTTTCAAAAAACTTAAATCACTCAGCTGGAGTGGCTCAGTAGTTGATCATAGACCTATGAACCAGGACGTCACCCATTAGATTCCAGGTCAGAGTACATGCCCGGGTTGCGGGCTCAGTCCCCAGTGGGCGATGTGCTAGAGGCAGCCAGCCCATCAATGACTCTCATCATTGACATTTCTCTCTCTTTCCCTCTCCCGTCCTATTTGAACTCAATAAAAATATTTTAAAAAGTAAATAAAAATTTAAAAACCTTAAATTCACTTACTTAAAATTTAACTTTATATAAACAGCATGAAAAAATAGCAATACCGTGTTTCCCGGAAAATAAGACATCCTCCGAAAATAAGACCTAGCGCATGGAAAGATAAGACATCCCCTGAAAATAAGACCTAGCGCAACTTTGGGAGAAAAAATTAATATAAGACACTGTCTTATTTTCGGGGAAACAGGGTAGTTAACTTCAGGTGGGCCTATCATTTCACAGGGAGGAAACGGAAGCATGGGGAGTCAGTTACCGTCCCGCCGCACGGAGCCAGGGGGCGGCAGAGCGGGGAGGGGGGGGGGCTCGGCGCCTCCAGATTGGAGGTAACTAAAACACAAAGACAAGGAAACCCCCGCTGGCTAGCTGTTTGTAGCTGGATCCTTCAGCCGCAGGGCCTAGTTACAGGGAGAAGGGCCGGTGTTGGAAAGCAGCTCCGCGCTCAGACGACGAAGCGGGGCGAGGAAGGAGAGGTGTGAAGGGGTAACGGGGACCCGCGCCGGGCAGATGCCCGCGCCTGTCCGGGCGCCAGGCCGATGCCCGCGCCTGTCCCGGCGCCCCAGGCACCTGAGGGGAGGGCGGGGGATCTCCGCTCCTTCCCTGCCGCGCCCTCTCCCCGCCTCCCTCCCGGGCGTCCTCAGTCCTGCCTCAACCCGACAGCCGCGGCGCGGCAGACCCGGAGCCGAGGTCCCCCGACAGCGGACGGGTTCCTGGGCCCCGACGGTGAAGGTTGGGTGGGAGCCGCCACCCCTCGGAGCTCGGGTGCCATCGCCGCGCCCGGAGCCGCCGCCACGTGCCGGGCATCCCCGCCCGCGGCGAGCGCTAGAGGCCTCGCGGGGGCCGAGGTGAGGCGCCCGCAGCGGCCACGGGGAGGGTGTCCGGGTGCCGGCGGGGCTCGCCCGGCCTCGAGCCGGCAACTCCCGTCCCCGCGGCGCTGACCACGCGGCGGGGTGCGCCGAGGGCTGCGGCCCCTCGCCCGCCGCCGGCCGCGGGGATGGCCATGCGCCCGGGCCGCCGCCTGGGGACGTGCAGCTCGGCAGCGGCGGCGGCGGGCGGGGGTGGGATGGGGAGGGGAGGGGAGGGGAGGAGGCGGCGGCCCGGGGCCGGCCCGGCCGCGGGGACTTTTATTCTGACACGGCCGCCGCCCGCTCTGCTTAGTCACGGTGACCGCGCGCCGCCTCCCCCCGTGCTGCGATGGAGGCGCCCGGGCCTGGGCGACGGAGGCGGAGCCCGAGCGCGGCCATGGCGGGGTGAGTGAGCGGCCTGCGCCGGGGCGGAGGGCGCGGCGGGCCGGGAGCGCCCTGCTGCCGTGCGGGGGGCCGGGAGGCGCGGCCCCGCTGACCCGGGCGCTCGGGGTCCCCGCGGCCCGGCGGCGGGCCAGGAGGGCGCGGCTCGAGTCCTCTCCTTTGGTTGGACGGCGCCGCTCGCGGGGTTGCCCGGGAGAGGCGCTCCGACCGAGGCGCGGGGACCCCGGGGCGTTGGGGGCCTTGATCTGCGCCCGGGGGTAGGCAGTCGGGAGGCCGCGATGGGGTCACTTCCTTCTCTGGGCTCTGGTGGCGGCTCCTGCGGGGCATGCGCAGTTCCTTCCCGGCCCCCTGGCCCCCCCGCATTTGTGAGGGCCCAGGGCCCGGGGGCACCGTGGACCGATGGGCCACGGACCGAGAGACAGGCCAGAGGCCTTGGCCGGGGGGCAGTGCCCGGCGGCGCCCTGGGCCCAGTGGGAACGGAAGCATGGAGGAGGTGGCCCCGCAGTCACAGTGGAGTGGGCAGCCGGCCAGCCTCAGCTTGCTGACCCCTGCGCATTGTCACGTTCCAGCTGGACGCGGGGGAGGCACAGGAGAAGGTGGTGTAACCCTGACCTACACAGGGCTCCCTGCCTTCTCAAGCGCTGGGGCTGAGGGTCAGAGCGATGGGCCACCTTCTGCAAGCCAAGCAGCTCGTTTCAGCTCTTGACAAGGCTGTAATGGAAATAAAAACAGGAGGTGAATCTGAGCTGAGCCCCAGAAAGATAAGATGGAGAACCCCGGGGAGCCTCTTGCAGGTCTCCCAAGCAGGACCTTTCAAAGCACAACTCATGCCCTGGCTTTCCAGAGTCCAGAAAACACTCCTTTATCTGTCATTATCCGTCATGTCATTCTTCCCTGATTCTCCAGGTTGTCTCTCTCATTCTGCCTTTGAGCCTTTGCATTGCTGTTCCCTCACCTGAGAAACTAACTCCCCTTTTTCCCCACCTGCTTTCATATATTCACTCTTTTTGTCTCAGCTCTAACAGAGGCCTGGACCACCAATCTAAAGTAACTGCCCCCAGGTCACACTGTCAATGCTGTTTTCATTTCCTTCATGACTCCAGTTTCTACTCAAGTCTTGTTTATTGTATTTATGGCCATTACCTCCCCAGGTGTGTCAACTCCAGCACAGTTTATGTCTGTCTTTGTCACTGCTATGTCCTCGGTGCCTAGAACAGTGCCTGACACACAGTAGCTGCTCAATAAATGTTGGTGCAATGAATGAAACAGTGAGCTGGACATGATCTAGGAAGGGAAGGGCCAATAACCCGCTGGAACAGAGTGAGCAAAGGGAAGAGGACAGGGGCTGACTGTGGAGGGCTTTGCAGG